TTGGGTTGTCATCATTAGTTTGCACATTCGATATGTTGGGGTCCTCAATACCATTCATTTGCATATTAGATAACGTACACGACCCAATATATTAATAAGTTTAATGAAGTCAGTTGAAAGTCTTAAGATTTTGATCTCTCATCTATTGACTTCTAACTGAATTCAATACGGGCGTCTGGACCACGAGTATGGTCCCCATATATACACAAAAACAAGGGGTGTTGTATGTGGTTATTTGTGTGACTGGGACCATAATCCGATTGCCGGATTCCATAGTTTCTTCTTTCACCCTAGCACTGAATATGTATATGGAAGTGGGATCCCTCATGAAATATTTCTAAGGTTGGCTCTTCCATATAGTAATTGTAATCTTATTTCTAGTAATTTCTCATAGAAAATGTTATCACTTATGTCTAATTTTTAAATATTTCTAAGGTTCGCCCATACCAAATATATTGTCGAGACAAATTTAACTTTTACTAAATTATGTGACAGAAATTACTACAAATGTTCAAATGGAGGCTGCAATGTAAAGAAGAGGGTAGAGAGGGACCGAGATGATGCGAGCTATGTTATTACCACATATGAAGGAGTGCACACTCATGAGAGCCCTTCTGTAGTTTATTACAATCAGATGCATGCTGATCCCAAGAACATTTGGACTTTGCGAGCTTCTTCACAATCTTCAGCTTCTTCATAGATTAACACCTTCGTTAATAAGTTTTCTAATACCTTCGTTAATAAATTTTCTTCCTCGTTGTTAAAACTAGTGAATGTTTAATCTCACGAACATAGACTTAAATCATCTACACTACTGTACATGATCAGTCATGTTGGGAGACCCCAAATTTAAGTATTTTACCCAAGCCGAGTGCTTATCGAATTTTAATCCGAGTTGGTGTTGCGTCTACATTGGTGTAGTTTCCGTTTTTACTACGTAAATATATATTACATTATGCAAGGGGACTTGTTATATTTGACAGGGTAAAGTGGCTAGGGAGGTTCTAATAGGCCCTAGGCGCTAATATCTCTTCCAATGTATTGAATAATAAAATGCAAAATAGAAGTTGTCTATTTTCTGTTTAAGTGAGAGTCATGACCTAGGCGGGCTAGACAGATGCCCTTTCTTAATTTTTAAACGTTTAGGGATTAGTCATGGTAGGGTTTGTTCTTTTTACAATGAGGGTGAGAGATCCCTTTTATATAGGACTAGGGTCCCTTCCCTTTTACATAGTCAATGGACTAACTAGTTAGTCCAAAAGATGGTACAACAAAGTATTTTGAAGAAAATAAAGATATAAGCTAAAATTTTATGTGTTTACGAGTTCATAGCATTTTAATGAATAAAAAATTAATAATATCGAGCTCTCGATGATAAAGTATAGGAAATAGAGAGAGAGACAAAAGAAAGTGAGAGAAATTGATCGAGTGTGCTATATTTCACATTAGCGATTTAGCATGCCTATTTATAGGCTTAAGGGTCATGTAAATAAGAAACTAAAGTAGTAAGATATTACATATTGGCCCTATATGCATATTTGTGGACTAACAAATTAACAATATTTACACTACAGCTCGATATCTTTGCTTATTAATGTCATATCCCGACCCGGCTCCCACACATCCCAAGTTTGACTCCACCTTAGCACAATATTATCCATTTTGGGCCCCAACCACGCCCTCACGGTTTTGTTTCTGGGAACTCACACGAAAACTTCCCAATGGGTCACCCATCCTGGGAATACTCTCGCGCGTTACTCGCTTAACTTCGGAGTTCCCATAGAACCCGAAGCCAGTGAGCTCCTAAAAGACCTCGTGCTAGGTAAAGATGGGAATATACATATAAGACTTAGAGGATCCACTCCCCTGGGCGATGTGAGATGTTACAATCCACCCCCCTTAGGGGCCCGACGTCCTCGTCGGCACACCGGCCAGGGATTGGCTCTGATACCAAATTGTCACATCCTGGCCCGGGCCCCCACCACATCCCAAGCTTGACTCCACTATAGCACGATATTGCCCAAGCCCCGACCACGCCCTTACGGTTTTGTTTTTGGGAATTCATGCGAGCAGAACTTCTTAGTGGGTCACCCATCCTGGGAATGCTCTATCCCCTTTTTCGCTTAACTTCGGAGTTCCTACGGAACCTGAAGCCAGTGAGCTCCCAAAAGACCTCGTGCTAGGTAGAGATGGGAATATACATATAAGGTTTAGAGGATCCACTTCCCTAGACAATGTAGGATGTTAAAATGTCACTTGTAGTTGTAGGCATGGAATAAACATGGGAATCAAAGTAATTAAGAGTTCAAAATACATTAAACACAGAAAACCGTACCAATGTTTTAATTGTTTATATCATCCATTCATACATTAAGAAATTATCAAAGGGATCGATGCATATAAAAGCAGTCAATTATTACTTGTATGATTTCCGTGCGAGTTTAAACCAAAGGGGTGTGATATCCACACATCCCATTTTATTTCTCACACACTCTTTTAATTTTCAGCTGTCCGATCGGATGAAGTAAAGAAGATCAACGGACAGAAATTAACAAAGGATGTGTGAGAAGTAATTTGGGGTGTGTAGATAGCACACCCCTAAACCAAATTATTATAAATGTATCATTCTGTAACTTAACCCAAATTTTCCACCCTTAATGTAATTATACCGTTGTATAAAAAAAATACTTTTTTTTTTTCGGTTATTTTGAATAAAGGGGACAACTGGTACTTACTAAAGAGTACTCTACATAATCACTTTTCAATTTGGTCAATCAAAAAATAACAAGTTCCTTTTTTAAAGCCCAAAAAAAATTAATAACATATTATATTATTTTATAACTAACATGTGTTAAAGTATCATTATACAAAATCAAAATGTGCGTACTCATTAGTGTGTACTCAAGTTTATCTTTAAAAGAAAGTGGTTAATTTAAAGGACTAATTAGTAATATAATTGAATTAGCACCATCCAATAATGTGTGACCTAAATACAAACTTTACGGTACTTCTCTTAACAATATTGAAAAGTATCCCTTATTCAAATCTCCTCTCCTCTCCTTCCCCTTTTTTTTTTTTTTTGTAACAAAAAATAAGTAAAAAAATAAAAAAGAAAACAAAAAATAAAAAAGAATCTCATGGGGCTATATTTTCAAAAGTTGGCAATCTTGAAATCTTCTTTGGATCAGAGACGGCATATTGTTTCTTAGGAGCATAGAGGGCATAATGTGTGTATGCATCAATCTTATCTTTATCCTCTTTAGACTCAGCCTTTGTAATGCCATCCATCCACTGAGACCAGCCGCTGGTCGGATTCGAAGGAAGGGGTGGCGGTGGCCGCGGTGGTTTGCTTTGCGTATTTGTCGAAGCTTGTCGTGGTACATACTTGAGGTTGCTCTTTATTTGTTTCTTCATCGTTGGAATATTGTTGTCTTTCCTTCCCTTCATTCTTTCAAATCTATGTTTGGAAGAGTGATAACAAGAACAAACGAGTTCAAATTAATCAAGAATTTTATGAACGAAAGAAACAATTTTTTCTATTCACCCAAGTAAATTGTTGCAACTTAAAGAAAACTGACTTGCATTAAACTTTCCAAATCGATGACAGTACTATAGTTCATTGTATCTAATCAAATTTATTACATTTAAGTTCAAATAATCAAATACTTGAGTTGTATATTGTTATTTTATCAGGTCACTTAATATGCAAGAATTCGACAAAAAAACCTTAATTTGCATGAAATTGTTTTTACAACGATATATTTACATTAATGAGTGGGGAATATATTCGTTTTGAACTCGTCATCCACGAAACTCAAACCTAATACCTTTCACTTACAAGTAGAGAAAAAATTAATTAAATAAAATTTACGTAAGTATGAATAAGATATAGAGAGAGGTTTTAGGGTACCTGTAAAAGAAATTATTGGTGTAAAAAAAAAGGTGTATCTCGTGTGGTATATATAGAGAATATGCATGGGTAAGTTACCCAAATTGGAGTCAATAAACTAATTACTTAGAACGCTATTATACCTAATTGGACGTGGGATTGAGAATAGCTGAAAAGGGATTGTTTAAGGTGTTTTATTTCTTGCTTTCGTATGGATTGTTTAATGGCATGTTTAGTTATCAATTATCATGAACGAGTAGGTAAGATATATTTCCCTTTTTGACATATTTTATATTTAATTACCAAAATTATGTGAATCGCTTTCAAAATCCGTAACCGAATACCCCTCAAAACCAAAATTGAATCAATTACTTCCTTAAATAGTCCAATTCACAGTCGTTATTTTCAAAATTGAATCTTCATGAAACCGCAACAGCTCGACCCGACAATAGACCCACTGCACCGCCGCACCGAAACACGAATCCCGTTGCAAACCTGCCATACCATTTTCATAATTTCGTACAATTTTAATTGGGGTATACTATCCACACACCATTTTGCTACTTCTTACACATCTTTTATTAATTTATGTCTGTTAATCTTCTTCAATTCATTCGATTTGACGGTCGAAAACTAAAAAAGTATGAAAAAAGTAAAAAAAAATGTGTGGATATCACATCCTTTTTAATTTGGTTGATTGTCCACATGGCATAATGTTGACATTTTACTATTAAAATGTGGGATTCATATTGGCACATTATTATTTAACGGTCAAATTAATAAATTAACTAATAGATGTCTAACATTGCAACTAATTCTTAAATTAATATATGACATTTTACTATTCAAAAAATAAAATATGAGTTGTTACGTGATCCAAAATTAAAATGGTAAAATATAATTTATCTAATAATAAGTAAAGCACACCTCCAATAGCCTCAATTTAGAAAAAAGATTCTTGCTGGATTTTATTTGTGATGATCTCGAAAATTCTTTAATTACATCTGTTTATAGTATATTGTGCAACCAACTTTCGTCAAATATTGTTTATATTTAATTTTAAATAAAAAATTTATAAAGATTTCTGACCGCATAATATATAAGGTACATGAACGACCGTGGTTTGAAAATCCCTGGAAGGATCCGGCGAGTTACCAACTTAATTAGCCAGCCCATTACTTTCATACTCTCTTTTTCTCTCTCTCAAACTTTGAAGCCGGAAGAGCAGACACCTCGTCGAATATCATCAGGTATGCTTCCCGAACCCAGAACCGACTTCTAAACCCTATAACTTAAAACCCAACAAACAATATTCCCTACAAGTTTGAACAATTAGAATTTTCTAGGGTTGTTTTGAATTCATATTACAACTTCCCATGTAATTCTCAATTATTTGGAATAATTTTCATCACTCTTATGGTTTTTCTGATAAGATATGTTTGCTCTGCTTAAAATGTTGCAAGAAAATATGTCCCTCTGGCTCTCTGGGAGTTTTTATTTCTTTCCATATATTTGTTTGATACTTGTTAATTGGTGTGGTGGATTGGTAAAGGAAAAACATCTGCTATGGAGATGGAATTGCACTGCTTTATCCCATGGATAATATTAGGGTTCTGGGTTTAAAACCTTAGAAAACGTTTGTGTGAGTGCGTGAATTTGGTTAGTTTCTCTCTGTGTGGGGTTACTTTGGGCAATTCTTTGGTTTAATCGTTGTTTTCGTTGTTGTTGGAATGTTCCCTTGTTGGATAATCCCATTTTGCAGTAAAAACTAAATCCAAGCTAAAATAGAGGGAAGAAATATAGTTAAACCTATTCACATTACCATAGTGGAGTAATGATTCCTAAGGAAATGATAAGCACAATCATTTTTAGTCTCGCACACATTCCTGTTTAATCATGCTTGTTGTTTCCTTTTGATTTATTCGATTTGATGGCCAAAAATAAGGAGAGGTGTGCGAAAATCACCCCCCTTTTACCGTTCTGTCTGATGGTTGGCTCTTGGCAGTTGTGTTGAGATTAACCAGTAAATTGGATTCCTTATCGCATTTCCTGTTGAAATCTCAATGGTTAGGTTGAACTTCTGTTTGCAGTTTTCTTGCTCCCTTCTTTCGGGGCAAAATTTGTCTTTACTGAAAACTGCGGTATTGTATTTTTACATGTATGTAACTCAAGGATTCTTTTACCATGTTCTCAATTTCTTCACTTCAGTTACATATTGGTTTTGGTTAGGCCGAAATGACGTTTAGAATTTTATAAAGAATGCATATGCGTACAATCTAACAATGACTAAATGAGTAACTAAGTTCTTTGCATTTTGTATTTCTGTTAAAGACTGCTAAAGAAGAGATTGACTTTGCATTGGTGGTGATGGTGGAAGTGTGGTGGTCCCTGTTAGCAGCTATCCCTGCAGTGGTTGCAGGACAAGCATTTCGAGTGAAGAAAAGGCGTGCTGAAGAACAGAGATTAATGAGTGCTAGGGGGAGGGAGAAGAGTTCTGATGAGATCTTTGTCTGTGAAAGGGTATGTACATCAAAGAGAATGCTGAAAAAGGTAGGTGCATTTTCAAAGGATCCAATTCCTGATAGCTGTGTTACCGTGTGCGGTGTATCTGAGCTGGATGCTTGTGCTGATGCATGTGCACGCACTGTTTGCGTAAACCAACATCAAGTACCTAACTGGAATGACATCTGCCTTCGAAGATGCCAGAGTGAATGTCTTAAACTCTCTTCTTCCAGTTCTTCTTAGTAGCTTCAATATAAAAGGGAAATGTGTATTACAAGTTGAATTATCATAGTGTCGGTTACTACCATTTTCTGAGGTTTTAAGCTCACTGAATGTGACTGACATTTGACTTGGTATCAGTTTTAAGCTCACAACCGTTGGATTAAATTTTTTGCTTTATTGCTCAAGCTTGTTTGTTGGCTTTTCGAATTACCTTGTTATGTCCTTTTCTGTTCAACATATATAGGCGTGTTCTTGAGTTTAAGCTTGCAACTGATGTAGATTGAGGTACTCGGCGAAGCTGTCATGTATTGCTTGTTATCATGCTTGAGTAACCATAGTGGACAGCTAAAGCAGGTGTAACTGGATCTCAGGCACCCGACCATTCAGATGACGGTGAGTGTCGAATCCCTGAATTTCTTTTTTTCTTTTTTCTTTTTTTTCTTTTTTTTTTTTTTTTTTTTATGTAATTTTCATACGGTTAATGGAACCTATGAAATTGTTGTTCTGTGGGGATGTAATTGGGATAACTTCTCAATTGAAGATATGAATCTCTTGATTTCCCAAATGCAGCAGTAGGCAATGCGAAATTTTGGATGTCCGCGGGGAAATATCAGACCTTAACAGATTCTTATCCTAACTTTTAATTTCTTTTTGTTACATTGGAAGACGAACGAACTCTTGATCTAGTCTAATCTTTAACTCATTCCCCCACCTACCCTCACCACTTGGGCGCCAACTCATGGACTTCGATTCTTATCCCGACGTTACGCTTCTGTTTCCCGGGGGATGAGTTACGATTAGGATGGTCGATGGTTCGATCTCCTTCGATATAACAAAAAAGTGAAACAAGGTTATTATTCATCAATGGATTGAATAGCTTCCCATGAGATCACTGCTTGCTTAAGCGTAAAACCGAATCAATGCAGATTGATACAAGTTTACAATGCATGAAAGAAATGTTTAAGCCAAAAACGCCTTGACTAATTTAAGCATTAAACAAAAAAGATTATCAAAGCTCTGCATGCGCAGCAGGAGTCTCTTCGTGCGGAGAAGCCACCGTCTCCTTTACCTTTTCTGCTGTCTTATGCACCGTCCCTCCCACAGCTTCGCCTGCGGATTTAGCCGATTCCTCCACCGTATGTTTGCTTGTTTCAAAACTCTTCTGTGCTGCCTCTTTCACTTTTCCCCCCATCCCTTGATCATCGCTTTCGCTGCCCTTTGCATTTGCCTCGTCTCCGCCCCTGAAACTGATAAAAACAACTTCACAAACCCCTTTCTTTCTTATCTTTCGTTTGCTTGGATCAAAACAAGACTCGGAACCTCGTTCAACATTATATTGAAAAATATCAACTTGTGTAAAACTTTTTGAGAATCGTCTGAAATCCCCCATTTTGTTAACAGTTTCAAGCAAACGAAAACAGGCTATGCTTGAGAAGATTGGATAATAATATGATTGAACCATCGGAGATTATAAATCAATAGACTTACTCTAAATTTGGAGGGGAAAATTGCAACTGCATGTCGTTTATGATGGTTTTAACCTTGTCCCATGCATTTTGATGAGACTTTTGCAGGACAGAGATTGTATCATAGAGCATAGACATTGTGTCTTGCATTGTTCTTCCAAAAGCAGTTTGCTGATCTGCTTCCTCATTCTTTTCGACCTCTGGTTGCGCTTCCCCGATTGTTTTCGGAATCTGAAGCGAGACGATGATGAACCAGAAAAGAAAGAGTGCTGTTCTTCTGCTGAATCTGTCCATGCCACCAAAACTGGAAGAATTCAATTAAAATAGGAGCTCAATTGGGGTGTTTGAGATTTGAACATTTTCTAGGCTTGTAGCTGATACGTGTACGCTAACGTGGGGTTAGCTTCTTGCTTGTAGGATTCCACATTTGAACATGTCAATCATGGTTGACATGTAATAATATGACAGTAATTTGGCATTAGTAATTTATGGCTTGCATTTTATATTGACTTTGTGAAAGAATGTCAGTTACAAATGTATAACTAATCTTCTGGATCTATAGCATGTTATTCTGATCTGAGTCCCAATATAATACCTGAAATATAATAATAAATATCATACGAAACTTGGAACTGCAAACGTGTGCATATTAGCTACAACGTATGTGCTCCCTTCTATTCACCCGAGGATGAATTTGGATTCTTGAACGTATACCTACTTTGGTGTTAGAAAAGAGTTTCAAAACAAAACGATGGGATTTGAAAAGTGACAGGCCAACGACCCATCAGACCAGTGGAAGCTAATGACCGCTCAGGGGGTCGAACGGCTGATCAGTACTGTTACGAAATTTAAATTTTGTGGTACCTTTTTTAAGGTAGAGAGAATTCCATTTTGTTTTAAACGTCAATATTCTGTATCTAATTCATAAAAATGAAGAAAATTGAGATTCCATTATAAAATTAATTGGTGTTATGAGGAGTAGCCCAACTTACTTATCCAAGCAAAGTCCCTCCTTTTATCAATGTGGAATTCATTCTCAACATGCGGATAGCATAATGGGGTGACGTGAAGCTCATGTGGCTGTTTGCCTTCGCACGTGGGACAACCTTCTCTGTTACCATGAAAAAAGTTGAGGTTCCACTATAAAATCAATTGCCAATATGGGGGAGAGTAGCCCAACTTATAAGTCCATGCAAAGGTCCCTCATTTCATCAATGTGGAATTCATTCTCAATAAAAAGACTTTACAAACATGTTCTAAAAGTTTGAATATCAACTCAAATTGAAAAGAAGTTTCATATGAGCTTCATTGTATCCACATGGCATATTCAAAATTCCTCCTTGCACACAAATAGTGGGAGCAAATCTTGTCTGAAGTTAACATTTATAGATCCATAAAGCAACATTATCTTTCACATCCTAGCATAACCCACTAAATTTTCCAACAACTATGAAACAAATTTTTGTCAGCATGGCTATGGAAACAATGAAGGATTTTACTGTGAATTTTGTTCAGCTTAAGAGGTTCGACAGAGGAAACTTTCGGAGGTGGCAAAAAATGTCAACACTTTTTGGTGACAAGCCTCCAAGAGCTCACAACTCGAAAGCCAGCGGAAAGCGATGAACAAAAATCGCTTCTTGTCAAACGTTATGGTGCTAAATGGATCAAGATTGCTATATTTGCAAGGGATACATTTGCAACCCTATGTTTGATGCCTTGTTCGATCTCTGCCATGATAATTATTCATGGTTATAGTGGGTTTTGTTGATGATTATAGTGAGTTTTGTTGTATCAATTTATATTCGAAAGATTAAGTGCTAAGTAAGTTTAAGAGAATTAACAACAACAAAAAAAAAGTAAGTTTAAGACTTAAGAAAATGAAGTAGAAAACTTGTGTGAAACAATGGTAAGTATATTAAATCAACAGAAATAGGGGTGGGCATAAAAACTGTCAAACCGCAAAACCGCATCGAACCGTATGAAAAAAAAAAAAAAAAAAAACCCCAAAAGAACCGTGTTGACCAGAAAAGTCAACTTTGAGTTAAAAACCGAACTGAACCGTTCAAACTGGTTCCAGTTCCGATTTCGAATGAACAAGAACCGGCCGGACCCAAACCAAACCGTTTTATTAATAATAAATAAACTAATTATATATACACACACACACATGTCATAATATAATAGGTTGACAAATTAGTTTCAGCAAGTTGCAAAGCATTGGATCCCATCCCAATTAGGTTTTACTCACTCACTCTGTCACTCACCTCACCATCCCTCACCTCACTCACACGGCCTCACGCCTCTCACATCCCCATTCCCCCATTTCGCACATCCGAGATCCGACCCTCACCACGGCCTCTCATCCAAAAATATCAACGATTCGCCCATAACCTCAGCTTCTGTGATGGCCCTCATCATCCATCATCTGCGACAGCTCACGACTCTTCGTCCTCCGTCCTCCCTCCTTGGTATTTTCTCTATCTTTTCTCATATTTGAGATTAGGAATATGGTTGAGTTCCACTGGTTTTCCATTCTCTTTTACCTGCACTATATCTATGTGATTAACACTATCTAATTGAGTCACTATTGTCCTGCATTTAGGGCCATGTGTATATAGATGGTCTGTGGGGTTCAATAAGGGTGTTTTAAGTTCATAGATTCTACGGAAATGTCATTGGCTTTAATCTGCCCCCTTAATTTAGGGCCATTTTTTGAGCTGGAGTACTGCCAAAATTGCTAGGAATCAGTTGACCACTTTCTGCTATACTCGGGTTCAAAGTTATGTACTTTCCTCTTCTTCTATGTGGTTCAGTTGGTTCAGTTAGTTATGTGGTTTAGTTTGTGCAAAAGCTTCAATTGCAGTAGAATTCAAAATTTTAGGAATAAAAACAATTTACGTTTCTTTAATTTTGTAACATGAAAAGAAATATAATGTCTTATATATAATAATCATCCACTAGATTCACATACTCACTTATCTATTTGAGGTTCACCTCCTTGAAAGGCATAACCAAAATGCCCCTCTACTGCCTATAACGAAAATGTGAAATGTAAGCCATATTGATGAAAGCATGAGTGTGATGAATAACACCCTATCTCAAACTAAAGTTTCAAAAAATAAGATGGAGCACCAGTAAAAGCTAAAGGAAAAACAACACTCTAATTGACAACACTATTGCATGGGGAAAAATAAAGTGTTTAACTATGCTGAAATTAGTACGTTCATATCATGTTTACCCCTTCTAACACGATTTCAAGGTTAATTAACAATTTGTTTTTTTGGTTGCTCTACAATGGCACAACTGACGACAAAAATCAAGAATCTATCTTCACTGTGAGGAGAAAAGAAGATCTCATTAGTTCATCAATACCAAATCTATGGCATGAATTGACCTCAAAACTTCACTGTAAAAGCATTGGAAGACTGTCTTCATCGGATTCCTCCTAATAGTTTCTCTAAGATATAAAATGGTTTAATTGTAGATCTTCTAAGTATGGCCTTTTATCTCTTTCTGGAGTTTCATTTCAGTTAAATTGTTCGAGTGAGAGGTTTGGGGCATCCAACTCGTAGCTTTGGATAATAGGTTTAGCAATTAGCATTGGAGCTCAGCTGGGTTTTCTTCTTAATCTTTCATTTTTACATGATATGATTATACAGAAAGAGTGGGTATATTTGTTAGCATATTCTATTTAATTGTTGTGTAATTAAATAATTAAATTTAAATCAGCAATTTGCTTCTTCAAACTTTTAAAACTGGGGAAGACCATGCTTCCTCTCTGAAATAAGTTGTTTGATTATGTAAAGGAGCTGCTGCTTGCTCTCTAAAATAAACTTGCAGTTTGCTTCTTCATTTTTTTATTTGTTGACTGACCACCAATGCATATTTCTTTTAGTTGTCTCTTTTTGTTGACTTGGTGCCACTACCAAAGACATTTGCATTAAAAAACATGTGTTGTATACAACTTTATATAATCAGTTTTAGAAGATGTATTTGAATGCATGACGATTTAGTTCAAATAATTTAGTTTTTGGAACCGTAAATCCGCAAGAACCGAATCGGAACCGGTGTAGATCAAACCGTAAGGTTCTAGTAATAAATTTAAATGGAACAGTACCGAACCGAACAATTGATATTTTCCGATTCCGGTTCCAATTTAGGGGTGGAATCGCACCGAACAGCATCGTGCCCACCCCTAGATAAAAAGGTAATGATAAAGAAAAATTACACATAGAGTATACTTTTAATACTTTTATATTGAGATAACACTTTTTAAACATTTCAAGGTGTGAAAAAAGTTAATATATGTAAAAGATGACATCATTAGTTTCTTTCCCTAGAGCGTAAGTTACAAAAATACCCTTTATAGTGGTAAAGTCTTTTCACAATTCCATCACTTCATTTGTTACTCCTTTCTCCCCATTTCTCTCTTCAAGAAATAATAGGTCAAAGTGAAGTTGGAGCAGAGCTTGAAAGATTGGCAATCGACGAAAAGTCTCTCAGATCCAGTTCAATTTCGTTTTGATTCTCTCTTTTTTCATTGATTCGTCGTCTGGGTCATGTTGCATGTGCAAATTCTTAAATCTTTGTACTTTACTTTCTTCTTCACTTTCTCGGCAACCAAACAGAGCACAAATAAAAAAACCAGAAAGGAAAACGACATATGGATGAGCAATCAAAAAGCCCTTAAATGAGTCCCATCGAAAGAGGCAAACACTGAACTAAAGCTTAGCGAACTCCTCGGCCGAGTCCTTGACCTTGAAGTAGCAGACGTCGGCGTGGTTGAACTAATTCTGAAAAAATGGTCGAAGATAGGTTGAACTGATTCAACAAAAATAGTCGAAGATAGGTTGAACTGTTCAACAAAAATGGTCAAGAACGGGTTGAACTAATTCTGCAAAAATGGTTAAGGACGAGGTTGAACTGATTATGCAAAAATGGTCAATGACCAGTTGAACTGATTCTACAAAAATAGTCAAGGGCAGAGGACGTATTGCACTGATTCTAGTAATAAATGATACAAACTAATTCTACATATAGTTTACAAAATGATTATGTAGAAATAGTCGAGGATGTATTGAGCTTATGACACATTAATTTTGTTGAAGTTGTGAGGGCTTGGTTATATTAACAACCCTAAAGATTTAGGGTATGACTAGTATTTTAAAACATTATTTCTAGTTTTTGCGTTGGGCTTTAGTTGTTTTTATGTTTTTGTCTCTTTTTGACATGTTTAAAAACTAGTGGAGTTCCTTGAAATATAATAAAATTTTTTGTATTTCTTCGATTTTATTTTCAATTTATTTTTTCATAACTCAGGTTGGTTTCTTTGATTTATTTTCCTATTAATTATAGCCAACTAATGTCCTCATGTTGTGAAGAAAACTATGAAGAAGCAACTAATGTCCTCAACTCCCCATATTAGGTGGGAATAGTTAATATATAGAGAGAAGTACCACCCCATTACTCAACATATAT